CACAGGTGGAGCGGCATTCAGCAAGACTGCATAGCTGCAGAAATTAATCACGAGCCAATTTGTCTACAGTAGTTGTACAATCGCACGGAGAAATGTGCATCTGTATCGGGCTGCAGTGCCGCCTAAGGGCGCATCGCGGCTTTTTTCGCCCCCGACTGCGCCTCTTGCCTCCGCTCCAGCATGCGGCTCGAGTTGTTTTATCGTTCTGCTGCTCCTTTTCTGTTGCCCAACGAATACGCTTCAGTGCTCTAACATGAACCCGTCCAACGAGCATCATCGTATGCTGTTGCACTACCAGGCGTGGATACCTCCACTCGCACCGGACAAAAGCATACACGGGCGTGTAGCGAGATGAGCTTCCCAGTAACCCACAAGAGGAAAAAAGGAATCATGGAGTGGCTAGAGAAGGAGCAGAACACATCACGACCAATACACTTGGGCAACTGCCCTCACACCCATTCCTTCTACAGTGACAACTTTGTGCTGGTATCCACACCGTACGTCTGACATGTGCTAGAACAATGTTTTCTGGAGTCACGTGATATAGTCTGGAACTTTGTACTCTGATCTGAACTTTGACTCCAGTGGTCGCCGCTCAGAGACGAAATGAGTGCAGGCCGCAGCAACGAATTATGTCTACCAGGATACTGAAGTAGACCTTCAAAGGTCAAATCCGGTGCTATTGAATCGGTGCAGAGCAGCTAGAAAGTTCGGACTCTTCGTCCTAGTTCAGGGGACCAGCTTACTCTTCTTTATACCGGCAGCGGCGTGCCGCAGCATACAGCACGTTGCCGTGGAGGTGTAGCTGCCTCACAACTCAAAGGCAAGGTTGCGGCAAGCTCTCTCTGAGTTACCTTTGTAAATCATCATCGCGCGGTGGCTCAGTCGTGGCCGACCGTCCACAATCTTGGAGGCAATTTCGTGATTGTATCTGGAGACTGCGGATGGTGCTTTCCCTAGCTACGTACAAACCGTCAGTGAGGCTTCGGCTAAATGCCATGCGTTGAAAGTCGTGGCGAATGGCAAGCTTAATACTTCAATCGGCAGCTTGGTCGGTATTCTGCGTGCAATACTGCGCCGGGATTTAAAGAATCGATGAAAGGCACAATTCGGACGGCGCTTTGTTCAGAATGTAACGGTATCGGACAGATCGCAGTGCCTTGAGGCAGGACGATGCGAGCAGCGAATGTGGGTGGTAGATGCTGTCGTGGCTGGCCAATTACTTGCTGTTCAATGTTGCTTCTTCGCAGGCTGAGAGTGAAGTACGGTGCGAGTGCGCGACGGGAGAAGGTGAGAGAACAGACTGGACAGAGAGGGTCTGGGGCGTCGGCCCTAGACCCTTCCGCCGCCGTCTCTACCTGATTCTCATGTGAGGCAAGTTCCGGCACCTCGACACACTGCAGCGGCTTCTACGATGGAAAATGGAACCAAGCTGACTTCAGGACCTCCCCCAGAATGATCCATTGTCGGCGCCCAGACGAGGCTGTCAGCGTTGCAGGCAAGCGTGAACAGGGGTGTCTAGTGCGATGGTATGGAGAATCGCGGGGTGAAGGTTGATGGTGTGAAGCAAAGAAGCTGGTGGTGAGCTGAATGACAGGGGACATAGACCCTTGTCGGCACCCCTGTACTACCCTGGTCTTGCCCCTTGTCCTGGGCAATGTGCAACAAGTCACCGTTGCGGCGATCCAGAAACGGCTGCATCCCTTCTTTGCCTCCCGCCGCAGTCCTCTGCCCTCACTCACGTCCCGTTCCAAGGCGCAAGGGGAAGCAAGCATGAGGCCCGCCCTACGATTACTGCAACTCACACCACACTTCCTGCAAGCCGACTTTGCACACCACCCTCCTACGAGCTTCACACCACTCGTACTGGAAGACGATTTACGCGTCCTGCGAGCCTACGCACCACGCGTTCTGCAAGCCAACTTTGCTTCACACCACACGTCCTGTAAGCCTGCATGCTTCGCACCACAAGTCCTGTGAGCTTTACACCACACATTTTGGAAGCCGATTTGGCTTCACACCACTCGTGCTGCGAACTTCACACCACACGTCCTGCAAACCTACATGCTTCACACGACCAGAGACTGTGAGTTGATTCCGTGTACAGTATCTGCGGCCAAGTCCCCGGTGGCTGGTCAATGAGATCGGAAGAAGTAAGAATAGGCTCTTCATCAACCACAGGGCATATGTAATGGAGGGTGGGTGGGCATGGGAGAGGGTGCTGTGGCCATGCGGGACGACAAGGTTCCCTTGCTTTCCACTCAGCTGACCCCCATCCGCTGGAGGTCAAGCCGTCCAAGCGCCGAAGAAGCCCAAATATGCTCCTTCTCGCTGGAACATTTCCTCATCACAGACATGTACTCCATCCGAAGAACTTCGGTTACAGTACGAATGGCATGCGCAATGCCTAAAGTGTGCAGGCTTGATCCACCAACAGTCGACATACGCCAGATACTCGCCAACACCGTCAGTTCACAGAAGTCACTGTCCCAAGCGGCTATACAGCAAAGTAACGTGCAACGTCCCTCGTTATTCCAGTATCAAGTTTTGGGTGCAACTACGCTAACTCCTTGCAGCTTCGTCATGCGAACCAGGTCTCGAGCGAAGGTTACGAAGCCTGTCAGGTCTTCGACGTCACGAAGGCAATTCCTGCTTGCACAAGAGACCTGGGAAGACCTCGTGGCCATTGATAGTATGGACACCGATGCAGGCGGGCGACTTCGCGTATACATCAAGACTATAGACACGGGTGAAGTATCCGCCCACGACGCCGCCGTAACGTACGCAAAATGCCCTCAGAAGGTTTGTGTCCATGCAATGAGTGGGACCATTAACTCAAGTGCTGACACTCGAAGATGCTTCGCTTCTACGAAAAGCACATTTGCTTCATATAATATGATCCCGCCGACGCAGATGCATGGTATTGGTGGGGGGCCATAACAGAGATCACTACCGATACCTGTCCTGAGTACGATTCGCAGACAGGTGTATTGACTTTCACTGTTGCCGACGCCACAGAGACATGCCTGCAAGGTTCGAGGGGCAATTGGCTGCAGGAATCTATGTTCTTTGCTAGATGATGGTGGTGTGTCATTACACTTGCGCCAGCGGCTGCAATTGTTTGCGGCCGCACCCTCAGGAGACGATGAAATTGAACGAGAGTGTTACGTCCTGGGTTTTGATCACCCACCAAAACTCTCCTCGCGCAAGTCGTCTGGTTCAAATTTCGGACCGGGTTGCCCCCCGCTTTTATTATGGTCATGTAAATTGGGGACTGAAACTCGGCGCCAACACTACGACCCGATTTTGCCAATTACGCCAATCTCACTCGATGCGCAACGAGTACAAGTGAACAGCGGCAATCGGGCGGGTGCCATTTGTGTGATCTAGAGTGACGCTCTGGTGGCCACCCGAGTTAAGTTATAACAGTGCACAACTCAAACTTTGCAAGTCAAGTCTCGGTGGCAAATATTTCATGTCTCGGAGCCAAGCTCGATTTCCACGGGTGGTAAACTCTTGCTCAGCGCGTTGACACTCAACATAATTTCGCCAGCTTAAAATTTTTGGACGGCATGGCGTCTTACCAATTCATAATACTCAAAACAGTTCAGAGACCACCTGCTGTCTCTCCTTGGCCAGTTAGGCGACGGCAACCAGCTCTCTATGTGTATAGACCTTATCCAGGCACCATCCCTCACCTTTACAGCTTCGTCGTCTCCTCATTCCACCGCTTAGACAGCGGCAGTCGATCAAACATCATCACTGAGGCTGCGAATAGCCGCTGGATTAGTGATATCGCATTTTGTTTTGATTACCCCAAGTAAGGGCGGCCCGTCACCATATCCATCAAATATGCTGTACGACAGAACGAGTGGAGGAGCTTAGCAACCATTTCATGTGTTATCCAAAGATTGCCTGTTTCGCGCGCTACCGGATAGCGGTAGAGGGCATATGAACGCTGCTAGACGGGACTGTACGGCAGGTTACTTTGGCTGCACGCGAGGGCCATCGAGATAAGGACAAGTGAGTACGGCGATGACCTGACCGGGATATGACAGTAGTAACGCGAGCTCTTGGCGCTATGAACGACAGTTGAGGCAATATGCAGCGAGACTTGTGTTGTCTTTCCTTGTTATAAACCTACTCCCACACGTGTTGGCTCCTTCGCAAGACAAGGTTATTGGTACTGAGTGGAAGCTCTCTCAGCCAAGATCAAACACGGACAGGACCACGCGAATGATACAGTGGCTAGTTCAACCTCCCTCATTTATCCTTAATCTGCTCATCAAAGAGCCTTCTTCTGCCAAAGGACCACCTCTTATTCCCCGGCTAATCTGGATGACAGAATTGGCAATGGTGAAGATTAAATGATTTTGCCTGGCATGGTATAATGGGAAATCCACGATCCGCAGTTTGTCGCCGCCTATCCCATTTAGTTTGTCCTCTTGTTCGACTAATATACGTTCCACATAATATGCTACACATGTTACTCCCCGGAACCCTGTAAAGATCGCATTGAAGTCTGGTATGGTAGTCAGTCCTTTTAAAGCCAGTTCAAGCACTGGACCTATATTGAGAGTTCGCTCGGGGCACCTGACTTCGAGAGTCTCAATATCTACCTTGGGTGAGCCTAGTGATGCCAGTAAAAGTTCTGGACTCGTTTGCTTGTAGAGTTCGTCCAGGCATGCGATGCTATTGTCGTCGTTTGCTGTTGCCAGCGGCTCATAATTACGACGACTCGGTAAGTACAACACAACGTATCCTCCCGGTAGGAAGTTTCCTACCAACACGGGGTTGAAGCCGTTGCTGCATACATGATCTAGCCATCTGCAATCCCGAAATAGAGAAGTGAATTGCTCTACAACCCAGCGTTCTTGCTGCTTTTTGATGATGTCTGGCGGAACGGCGAGCCCCTTCTTTATGCCCATCAGTAGTGAAAGAGGGTCCGCCTCTCCCAGACAATTGCCTAGCTCTGCTTGGAGCTCGTTGGGAAATTCCCTGACTCTATCTAGAGTCTCAATCTGCGGTCGTTACTATACTCCTTGGACCCTAATAGTAGAATACTTACATTTCGGATTTTTGGTTTCCAGGCAGAATCGATACAAAAGCCTCTCGGCAGGTTGAAAATTATCCCATATTTGGACGACGCTGCTGAGATCTGCCGCACCATCTCCGCCTCGTCAGTATAGCAAATCGCGGCAGAGTGCAGAGTGGTGTTCATTTCCAGACTTTTCGCTGTATCGCCCGACTGATGTAGGCATTCCAAATAGCCTCGGTAGAGACGAGGGTTAAGGCTGTGGTGCAGTATTTCCGGTAAGTGCGATCCGGTTCCCTTCTGATCGCTTATTCTTATAGCTGGCTCTGGGTATCCGTTGCTTGGTGGATCAACAAAGGAGAGAACACAAAGCTGGGTCCAGTCATCCAAATACTCTAGTTCAAGTCCGTCTTTGCGCCCGTCTTTCTTTCCCCCTAGAACAATGCTGGTGTATAAGAGTATTCTCTCCCTCTTGACATAAAATGTTCCATTGGCCACTTTAATACAATCGTGTAAACTCCTTATGAAAAGGTCGTAACACTCTGTGGAGTATTTTTTCGTAAAGGTTTTGGAAGTGGTTGTTCTTGTACGACCAAGTCGAAGGGCCAAGACAGTCAGAGTGTTCCTTTTGTATAGTAGATCGCGGCCAACCAAAAATGGAACAAGACCTCGCGCCAGTACAGCGTCAAGCCATGTTGTGGATTGAAAAATACGCAACCACCAGCTTTGCTCGTTTACAGAATTGCTCATTAGGTTCTACGGCGGTAGCAGTTTGACTGTATCGCTCAATATATTGGGGCAAACATGCAGCGTTGAAAGCTCTCTGTATACGGAATTTCTTTGCCCATGGAGCCTAAGGATAAAGCCGCTTCTGCTCCTCAGCTTGCCGCCGCTGCATCGTGCCGGCCGTGGGGCAAGGGCCCACGACGGAATGGTCTTGCGGGCACGCACATGGAGATACTTTGCCGTCGATATTGACAGGACCAGCATATGGCACGACTGGTCCTGGCCCCCTTGCTTTCATCTCTAAGCCGAAGACGGTATCTGGATTCATTTCCGGCTGCTCCTCTGCGGGGAACATGATTAGAACAAGCTGTTGCGGTGGCGCTGCCATGTCCACTGCAAATGCAGGCATTTTGTGCTCAAACCAAGGTGCCGTGAATGGATGGTGTGGTGAGGAAATGGTGTGGTGAGGAAATGGTGTGGTGAGGAAATGGTGTGGTGAGGAAATGGTGTGGTGAGG